ATAAAAGCTCACCATCACTTTCTGTGACTTCCTCAGCTGTGTTTGCTGCATTCTTCCCTTTGTTCTTCTTCTCCTTCCATATGGGGCAATTCTTTTTCCAGTGCTCCTTTGACCCACACTCGAAACAACCTTCTTTTGCCTTGGATTTTGACCTTCCTCTGCTGCCTTTCTTGCCTTCACGCCTCTTTGAACGGCCCCTCTCTTCGGTCTTAGCAACTAGACCTTCGCCTTGAGGGTTTTCTCCTGAACGTTGGGCCATCCTATGGTGCGTCATGATGTCTTGCACCACCGGCTCAAAATCCAGAGTGACCTTTTTTGCTGCGCTGTATCCTTCATCACGTTGATGAGCACCTCATCTGTGAGATAGTTTTAAATGGCTCCTCTAGCCAACTCATCTAGCACACCCCACTCCGCATCTGTCATGGCTGCTGGCTTCTTTTCCTTGCCTCCCAAGACAATGCTGAGATTTTGTTGTGTAAGGGCTGACTTCATCCTCCTTTTCCAAAGCATGAAGTTCTCTTTCCCTGTGAAGGGCTTTAACTCCACCTTCATGTTGACAGATTGTGGCAGCCTCTGCAGCATAGAGCTACTTTCACCTTCAGCTTCCTTGTCACCTGCCATCTTCAACACTCTAGCAACTTGCTGCTCCAACACAGCTCTGATACCACTTGTTGTGAATTGAGAACAAACTCAACTCGCCCTCCCCTAATGATCTTGTTGTTGATGGACTTTGTGACAAACACAATTATGGATGAATCACACACACTACACTTGAGAAACCAACCGAGCACAAAATGACACAAGAATTTATAGAGGTTCAGCAATTGCCTACATCCTCTTGGTGATCCCCTTGAGAAATTCACTAATGAAAGAATAAGTTACAACTTTGGTTTACAAAGAAACCCCCTTAGAACTCTATTCTCTCCCCAAGCTCTCTTTTCTCTCTCACCCCTTGCTCTACACTTTGATACACTAGAGAACTCTTAAGCCATGATTTTAGCTTCTTGCATGCTAAACCCCTTTATATAGCCAAATATGCAAGAGTGTGAATGCAACCTCACACTATTCAAATGTTGGCTACCAAACTTAACCATGGATGGCTACCAAACATTCCACCATTTTGTGCCACCAAACAAGTCACCTATTTTTGACAAAGATGGCAAGCCAATATTTACTCACATGGGCAACTCCAAAATTCTTCTAGAAATGAGTCAACCATGTCATGGAATTTAGGTAGAAATCCATAGCACACAAAAGAGGACTTTGTATCCTTAGGTGAGCCAATTTTTCCAACACATACCTCATTTCTGAATCATCAACTCTAATGAGGTCAAGAGCGTTCATGTTTTCCTTATTGAATGTCATCTTATCAACCCTCCTATCATTGTAAAAATCAGTTTGGTGGCCGGGACGAAGAACGAGCAAATGAAGGGGTGTGTTGCCGTCAACATCCTTGGCATTTAAGAGGACGTTGCTAAGCGCTGGATCCTTTAGAACAAAATTTGTAATTCGAGATCGATGGTTCTCCGAGGCATAATGACGAGCATTCCGACGTCTTTGATCTACCAGTTCACAACAATCAGGGCAACGAGAAATAAGCTCTTTCATTACATCTACGTGGCCTTTGCAGGCTGCAATGCGAAGGGCTGTCTTCTTATCAACTTTGTCACCCATGTAGGCACATGATTTATCAGCTTCTAGTAGTTGTATAACATTGAGGTACGACCAAGGAATGAAGCGTAGTGAAGCGATGTGATTTTGAGTATATGAGAAATGATTAAGACTTGGGAGTTAGATAGAGAGATAGAACAAGTATCTGTATCTCTCTACAATTTTCCCAAGCAAATGACAGAATTGTCGTTTTGTGTTTGTGTGTGGGATATGATGCCCAATATTGTAGTGTAGCCTTCCAAGCAGCATTGTGATAGCAGTGTATAGCACATGAAAGACTGCCAAGAAGAATATGAGGATGTGCAATTGGTGCAATCCATTAGTTGATATAAGTGGCTCTATAGACGATCTTTGATTTAGAAAAGTGTTCACCTAAAATAGGAAACAATATACGTACAGAAAGCTGGAGAGGGTAAAATTCTTGGAAAATCTTGAAGTTGCAGTTCCATGAGAAACATGTGGTGTGGGCTAAGTCACTACGACAACTACATACTAATGAATTCATTTACTAAGTATTTAAAAAGTATTTGAATTGGTTAAGGGCTAACTCACTACGACTACATTCTATTCATCACTTTAATATACCAAATAGGTCTTAGCGGACCAAAGGAGGAAACGAAAAAGATTAGAACATTAGTGATGATTGTAAGATGAAAGTGAATCAAATTGTCATGGATCTCATTGACCTATATATATATATATATATATATATATATATATATATATATATATATATATATATATATATATATATATATATATATATATATATATATATATATATATATATATATATATATATATATATATATATATATATATATATATATATATATATATATATATATATATATATATATATATATATATATTTCCAGAAAGCGGGTAAGTTTATATAGATATATGGAATAGTTCTCCCTCTCAACTTCAAAATTAGAACATAAAGAAAGAAAACTAATACATAGGCAACAATAACTAAACCCGAGTGAGCAAGTGCTGGAGAATCACCTAAGACTCCATATGTGCATGAAATGAATGCACCCATCATTGCAAGTACAGACGTAATAGTGGTGTATATAGTAGAATGCCAAAATGTTTTGTACCTCTCTTTTCCCTCTGGGAGTGTCAATAAGACAAGGCGCACAAGGACAGAATAAGTGGACAAACACAAGGCTAGCATATTGACCAGATAAAAAATTTGGAAAGCTGGATTTTTTGTTAGAACTGCATAACCCGGACTTGGTCCTTTAATCGGTGCCGGGGCCGGGACCATAACATTTTGCTTTGATACTTTACTCATGGCATTTCCCCTGATGCATCACTTTGGTAATAACCACCAGGCATGGTGACACCTGCTGTGAATGTAACAGTTGCTACGAGTGTAGCCACTATCAGATGGGATTCTCTTATATTTTTATCCAATTCAGTGTCTTCACCACCTTTGTTTTCCTTTATTAATTTCTGGCCATCATGATCATTTTCTCTTAGAATTCGATGGCCTGATACTGCACCATTCCTTTTCAAAGCATGCTTGAGAGATATCTGCAACACAGACCAAAGAGATAGTGGTGCAATTTTTCAGTTGTGTATCTGACGCAAATCATAACCTAACTAATAATTGAGGGCGAGGGATTATTAATTTAACCTAACCATAATTGAAAAGCAATACCCAAAGCCTTGAAGACTAAATTGGCTAAATTACTGCTCATCATTCCGACATGTGCTGTCACACACAAACAAGTTTAATGAAATATCGTACCAAATAATCATTAGCTTCAATGACGTCGAGAACGTTCATGTTTTCCTTATTGAATGCCATCTTATCAACCCTATCATCACCAATGAAAGGCCTCTCGGTGTAGAGAAGAGCATTAAGTAGATGGAGGGGTGTGTTGCCGTCAACATCCTTGGCATTTAAGAGGACGTTGCTAAGCCATGTATCCATCAGAACAAAATCAATAATTCGAGGTTGACTCTTCTCCAAGGCATAATGAAGAGCATTTCGACGTCTTTGGTCGACCACTTCGCAACAATCAGGACAATAGGAAATAAGTTGTTTCATTACATTAACATGGCCTTTGGAGGCTGCAATGTGAAGAGCGGTCTTCTTATCAGCTTCGTCACCCATGTAGGCACTGCATTTATCAGCTTCTAGTAGTTGTCTAACAATTGAAGCACGACTATGGAATGCAGCGTAGTGAAGTGGGCTCCATCCTTTTTCGTCTGTCACTATCGCCAAATCTTTTTTCTTGTTTAGTATTTCTTTGGTCATTTCTAAAAAGTATATATAAAAAGAATAATTAATCAATGCAAAACTAAAAACAGTGTATAATAATAATCTTATAAATATATACGTATACCCATGCTAGTTTGCTGGGAAAATGAATGAAAAAGGAGAAAGAATTAATTATGTAAGTTTATTATATTTATATATACCTACCTTCATCACCGTAAATCACTGCAGCATGCAAAGCGGTTCTACCAATGGGGCCTTGGTAAGTTGGATGCTTGCAAGTGCGAAGTATTTCGGAGAACAAAGCTTTGTATCTCCTCTCGGCAGCCAAATAAAGTGGAGTCTCCCCGGCAACATTAGGAGGGTAGGAAAAGTCAGGGTCTTCTCTGATCAATATCTCCACCACATCAAGGTGCTTAAACCGCACTGCCTCGTGCAAGGCTGTGTCCTTCTCCTTACTAAGTGTCCTTATGTAAATATTCCAGTAGGCTGCTTCTTCTTCTGATGATGATGATAAGGAGAAGGCGGCAGCCCCATGCTCGAGGTCTTCACAACGACGGGCTTTTGCAGTTTGGATGAGAAGTTCAACTATTTCAGCAAGCCCATGTTTGGCCGCCATGTCCAAGGCAGTCTCCCCGCTCTCGTTCTGCTGCCATAGCAGTGTCGGACAGATCTGAAGGATATCCTCCACGACCACAACGCTGGTTGGCTTGATCGGCGCTTCTTCTTTAGGTTTGACGAGCTTTGGGGTGCTTGCATAAGCAATATAAACATGGAGGACTGTGTTACGGGTTGGAGTCAATATTTGGTTAAGATGCTGCGGATCGTGTCCCCTGAGGACATCAATTTTGCCTTCTTTTGCAGCGTTGAAAACATCTAGATCCATGCCCATTAAAATTGGGACGTCTGTTGCAGCAGCTTCCTGCTCAACTACTTGGACCGATGCTGACGGAGTCTGATCAGTCCAAGTGGTGCGATCCATGTGAAAACATTAAAGAGAATGAGAAGAATCTGAGAGAATTGAAGAAAAAGATTTTGTTTTCTATTTCTGTTTCTTGCTAAAGCAATCAATTACCAGCCTACACGATTCTTATGTATTGTTACATTGTAATTTTCTCGACTAAGCAATCTAACTAACTCAACAAATCACGACATGACACTTGTGATGCTACTGCTAGTAGTGCATTACTCATAGACCACAAGAACAGAGTGATATGGAACAGCAACTGGCCAACCATTATGTTTCTTCTTCCCTCTTTTTAATTACCTATCTGCCTGCCTAGTAGGAAGCTTGGAATTAGAATTTAGCTAGCAAAGCAAAATGCTCATTCTTGAGCCTAAGCTTTCCCTCGGATAATATATACTAAAAGAAAATAAGGAAGGTGCAAAGATGGTTCATATTACCTTCTGCTTCTGGCAACTTCTGCAGCTGCTAGGCCATATCATTGACCTATGAGTAGTACTGTTGCAAGTCAAGCCCACTAACTACGACAAATTATTCAACTTTACAATTTCATTTTCAGAAGAAAAAACGAACAATCTGGAGCAGGGAGTTTGAGGTGAATTTTCTTTGCAATGTGTTAGGGAACTTTATTACACCTAAAATGGACCCCACAAAATGACAAATCATACTTTTTATAAATCATACGTAAACCCTTAAATATTTCTTTGCTTTGTCTATTGACCAACTTGTAGAGTATCCCACCACATAGAAGGATGGAAAGTTAGCTTAAAAGCTTAAGAGATGTAGGGCCTCTTATTACCAATTAGTTTAGGGTTTAATGCTCATACTCTACGCCCTACATAAAGGATTAGTAGAATTGATTACGGTCAAGTCTGGCTGCGTAAGTTTACTTTTTCCACACAGCTCAATCATAACATAAATCCTAGCCAACAATTAATTCCCTTCAAGGCCTATCGACTGGGCCTTGTATTAAAAGCTTCTAAAATTGTCCTGAAGTATAAATGATTCTAAGAAATATCAAAAGGTACAGCTAAAGATGCATAAGCTCTTCCAACTGTCCAAATTACAAGGCCCTGTCAATAGGCCATGAAGGGAATCAATTGTTGGATTTTTTTTCTTTCTTTTTTTTGGTCGAAAGGAATCAATTGTTGGCTAGGATTTATGTTATGTGGAAAAAGTAAACCTAACAGCCATATTTGACCTTAATCAATTCTACTTTTCTTTCGGTAATGTGTGTGGAAATTGTATGTGTAGAGCTGTCATGATTGTCTGTCTGATATGTCTGATAATAGAGAATTCAAGTATTTCGTACTCTTTTCTCGATACCACAAAATATAAATTAATAAAAAAATATATGCAGTTGGGTTCATAGTAATGTCCACATATATGCTCAGTTAATTATTGTGGCCGTAAATATTACGAATTACAAAACATACATAGTCCAAAAAAAAATAAAATAAAAATAAAAATAATAGAACTCTTCTTTAATTGAAGTCTTCTGTAATATGTCAAAACATTCAGATTTAATCCACTTAAATTCATTATTTTCATTACTTTAATTCACTTAATTTCATTATTTTCTTGAAGACAGTTCAATTATTTGTTTGCTACTGTTTGGTTCAGTTTTTTTAATAAATTATGCGACTTCAGTTTTGTGTTTATTATTCTTGACAAATGAATTCAATTATATGTCATCATGTTGTATAGCTAGCTACAATCACTGCATAAGAATATGAAGTCCCACATCAGAAACTTGACTAAATGAAATATAATATATAATGAATGACACCACTTCTAATAACATCGAGATCTTTTGTGACAAAACCTCACACCTACTGGGTTTTGTAAAGTTGAGAAACCTAGTAAGAACTTATAATAAATTGAGATACTCCCCCAATTGCCAATTGGTTTTGGATTGAAACCTCAACTACTTCATGGTATCAAAGCGGGTTGCCCACATGTGAATGAATGACAATCCTTAGTCCATGACTATTTTATAAGTCAAGTGTACTTAATTTTACAAATTAATAAAGTTTATGAATTTCCTTTTCAGAATAAAAAAGGAATACCGGGGAAAGAAGTTTGGGTTGAATTTGCTTTCCCATTTTATAAAATATTTTCCAAAATGTGTTTGGGAGTCTTTGAAATAGAAATGGAAAGGAATAATATTGGTTTTTATGTTTAAAGTAAATAAATGAAAGTGAAAGTTCATACAGACCACAACTTTTTATGATCATTTTACTATTGTATACATCCTTAAATCGTTTATGTAGGCCATAGGGATCTGTTATCCTGTGTGGATACAATTACCAATAAAAAATGCTTGGGCTGGAATCACGTTGCATTGTCATGCATTCCCTCTGTTTCCTCCTCTGTTTCCTCCTCCGTTTCTTCTCTGTTTCTTCCTCTGTTTCCAAGTTGTTGTTTGCTAAGAAGAATCCACCATATACAACTTGCTTTCTTACTCAGAAGGGACTATGGAGTTTGCAATTCCAATTGGTTATTAACCAACTCAACATATGTAATGAAAAATTGAAGGGTACTTTTCTTTTGGTAACGTGTTTCTCTTGATCCAGCTATAATTTTCAAAAGAACACTATCACAACACCCATTGTATGACTTCTGGTACAGCCTGCACTTTAATATTGATAAACACACGTACACTGACACTGAGCTGTCGAAACCCCAGCTACATCCAGTGTCTACTAAATGATGCATCTGTGAGCCAACCTAACAAAACATGCGATTTTGGGATGAAATTGAATTGACTTTATGGATCAGTAAGTATTGTCGTGCTCAGCAGACAATAGGATCATGTTAAATATCTTCTTGTACACACAGTAACAAGTGCAGTCTCTAAGGACATAAGAGCATCCACACAGCAATGGTCTGATTGTGTGATTGTTGTACAGCCTGCACTTTTATCCTGATAAACACATGTACGTGACACTGAGCTTTATCCAGTGCCTCTACCGAATGATGCATCTGTGAGCCAACCTAATAAAACCTAACATCCTGCGATTTTGTGATCATAACCCTAAACACCATTCCAAAAGGGATCACCCAAGTTCTTCTTAGAGGCAACCTCACAAAGGTTGCTTATGCCGTTGCTTTTGCTTTGTGCCAAAAGGGTATCCAGGTAAATATATATGTATCGAACTTTATGTTTGTCATACTCTATAGCTCGCATGTAAGAATAGAAAAAATTTGTGTAGGACTGTCGTACCATGTCATCATCATGCTGACTCTCTTGCCTTTAATCACCTGTCTTTGAAGGTAGCTACATTACACCAGGATGAGTATTTGAAGCTGATGTAGGACGAAATATGGTCACTTATGGCACTAGGAAAAGAAGGAAGGCGTATCGTTGGGATTTTCTAATTGATTGAAGAAGAATTGGAGTGAAGAAGAATTGGAGCGAAGAAGTGAAAAAGGACGTAGCGGGAATTTGCAGATTTGTAGTCCGAGCTCCGATTAGGACGCAAAATACCATTTCGGAAAGGGAACGACGCCACGAGTCAAACTCACAGTTTTGCTATGATGTATGATGGATTTTGGCATTCTGAGGTCGTTTGGCCTTCCAAAACCGCATTCAAAGTTTCATAGTTAATTTTCGGAATAAATTCTGTTTTTCAGTTTTAATATAATAACTCCCCTAGCAGCTCAAGGGTTGAGAGATGTGTATTTAGACAGATTTGGTGAACGTTTTTTATCATCTCAGATTTTAATAAAAAATTATCCCAAGGGAATTCCTCTTAATTTCTGGTGGAATCCAAATTTTTTGTTACTCAAGGTTTTCGTTTGAAACCTTTGTTGCTTGTGCTGCGTCAATTTGGAATTAGCCAAGTAATACAGAAAAATACATGCAACGAGGGGTAGCTAGAATTTTGTTTTTTCTTATGGAAATAATTTTAAAATTAAGGGATTAAGTTAAAAACTTAGTAGTAAATGATTTTATTATTTACTTTAAAATTAGGGGCCAATACTAGCTCAATTGTGTGTTGTGACATTTTCTGTATCATAGATAATGAAGATGACAGGGTCGTCATCTTTAACTCTGTCACTCGATGACAGTCTATATTTGTGTGATTTTTTTTTTAATACTTTGAAAAAAATATTATATGAACTAAAATTCAAGATTGTAATATAAAAAAAAGTAACAAACATTATGTAACATAACAACGAAAGGATAGAAACAAAATATAAACTTCTTCAAAATTATTCCAATTTTTGCCTCCCTTCAAAATTATTACAGTCTCTTCCCCTGCATTTATTAACATGTAAACGTAAAGAATCAAACGTTTTGTGACAAAAGTTATCAAGGACCTTGAGATAGATCAGAAAATGCTAATAAGAAACAGCTAAAAGAGGCCCCAAGCGGTTGCAAGCCTTTCACAGGTAGGGTACGATACACGGTACACCAAGTGTATAATGAGTCAAGATAAGGAGGAAAAAGCAGCCAATCACACAAGCCGTAATGGCAAGTCCCGGAGAATGACATAATACTGCATATGTCCCTGTAATGAATGCAACCACCATAAAAATTAAAGCCAGCACAGTCAAAAACAACGCCCAGAAAACCGCTGCAGGAAGCCACCATCGTCCCTTTGTGTGCAGCATCGATCCAGTTAGGTTCAACCAGACAGATACACTGGACATACCGAAGCTGAGTGTGTTTGTTATAACAAAGGCCTTGAAAGCTGCATTTCTTGATAGAACTGCAAAACCCTGCTCTGGTCCTTTTTCACCTTGGTAACCACCAGGGATGGTGAAACCTGCTGCGAATGTTACAGTTGCTATGAGGGCAGCAACTACCAGTTGGGCTTCCCTAACATTCTTCAATTTATCAGTGTCTTCACCACCTTTGTTTTCCTTCAATTTCCGATGGCCACCATAACTTTTCCTTAGAATTCGATGGCCTGATTGTTGGAAAAATGACTCACCTAAGGATACAAAGGTTTTGGCGCTCAAATGATGATTTTGAATCTGTCTAAAAGCGACCGGTCGCAGGACATTTGTGACCGGTCGTTTTGAAGCAGATTCGAAGTCTGGAGCAAAACTGAAGAGCGACCGGTCGCTAGTTCTTTGCGACCGGTCGCAGGAAGCACGAGCGACCGGTCGCGTGGCATTTGCGACCGGTCGTTTAGAAGCAGATTCAAGGTCTGGAGGAAAAACCAAAAGCGACCGGTCGTCCCAGTCGTGCTGTGACGATTTCTTACGTGTTTTCAACTGTGTTTTCGATGGCTATCGCTTTCCACAAGATTTCAGAGGCTTAGTGGGTCACTTCTGAGTTAAATGAACGTT